TGTTTTCCACATCCTGCGGATGTGTGCCCTCTCCAGGGAACGAGACCTCTCTCCTGATAGCAGATCCAACACCCGTGCTGCCCACTGGACAGCCCCACTTGGCTGGCCGGCAGAAGCTCACTGTCTACGTGGCCCAGCCTGCCCCCAGCCTCCCGCCTTTCCTCTCCTCCACCTCCACCCCAAGCTCTTCCTCCTTCCTCCTCATCTGAGCTGCAAGGATGCTTTTCTACCTGGACAGCTACCCTTCACAACTCAGAATCTTCAGAGACTCTCCCTAACCCTTTTGTAAAGAAGCTAACCTGCTAAGCCCTCTCAAACATCTCCTCCGCACCCACAAACTGAATTAAGAGCTTTCTAGGTCTTTTGCTTTGCTCACGGGGTGCTCCTCAGCTTGTGTGCAACAAATGTTGGCTGGATGAATGGAAAAAGGCGCACACAAAGGAATGAATCACAGTACCAGAGGATCCTGTTCTCTGACTTCAAACGAAGAGCCTGCCCCCTGCCTGGGCCTTCTGCCTCCACGAAAGAAGCAAAAGGCACCGCAGCTGCTCCTGGCACTCTGCAATGCCCCTGGAGGCCTGAGGGCGTCCTTTGGGTGCACCCTCCCCAGACCCCCACATCGTTCTGGAGCTGGAGGTGCTCTCACTGGGATGGTCTGCTGTACTTCCTGCCTTGAGCCCCACGTCACCTCCATTTGGAAGGAATGTTATCATACTTCGGCACAGGTCCTCCAACCTCCCTGTAAACTTCTGCTCCTGGGGCCTGTCATCTATCTCAGACACTATTTGGTGACTTTGCAATCCAGCAGTCAGAGCTACAGGACACCTACCTCCTGTGCCAGAACTTAGCTGCCCCAGGAGGCAGTCTGAGCCAGGTGTGCTCTTCCTGGCAGAGGTGGGGGGACCCTGAGGAAGGGGGCTGCTGGGCATGTCGCTGGTCCATTCATCCAATGGGCCTGACCACTCGGATCATCCTGCAACTTCCAGCTGGTACAGATGACACAGACATTTCCCAGCCTGGTCAAGCTTGCTGTCCTGTGTCTCCCCCCATCTCTCCTTGGGGTCCTTTTGCCCCTCAGCTGAACTCTGCATTCAGAGCCCTGACTGCCAACCTGCTGGGAACTCTGGACCTGGTTTTACCCTTGGTCTCTCCCATGGACTCTAGCAAGCACTCTCCCCTCTAACCACCCCATGCCCACCAGCTGAGGCAGTGCTGTGTGGTCCCTGTCCCCAACTCCCTACTGAATTCTTGCTGCCCAATGTCTTGTTGACATTTCAGAATTTTGGAATTTTAAGTCATGCACAGAGCAATCCTGTTGCTCAGGACCTCCCTGCACAAATCCAGCTTTGTAAGGGTGAGGGACGAAGTTAATGTTCTGTTTAACCTAATTAGAATACTGGGGAGACATGAATTAAAACAACAGCGACACCATACTTCTTCGCCTGTAATTATCAGCAACATTTTAAACACTGATTTAATATTTGTGGAAATAAGGGATATTCACATAAAAGAATTTTGAGAACATACATGGTACAGAATTTGGTGGTTAAGATTTCTGCAATATTATACAAATTTTAAATGTTCACACTCTTTCCACTTATAACCCAATAGCCACATGTTAGTTGTGGTTACCTCTCAGCAGCGGGCTGAAGTGTGCAGGAACTTTACAAAGGGGCCATTATGAATCTTACAAATTATTTGCACAAAGAATGTATGCATTATCTGTGCTGGTATTATTGTAATGAAAGTATTTAAATACTACTAACAGTAGAAAAGTAGTGCATATCAGTCAGCTGTAGTAACCACAAGCTAATGCAACAGAGAAAAACTGACATTTGAATGGTTTTAACGCAAAAGGTTATTTTTTGTGCACATATGTTTTGTATAGAAAGTTGTGCACATGTTTTGTGTATCAGTTTGGATGCAACTGGGCAGACCTCTGCTGTCAGGTGACCCAGTGACCCAGGATGCCTTGAGAGTGTAGTCCCATCATCTCAACACGGTGACACTATGCTTGCTGTTGAACGGGATACAAAGTACGGGAATGGCACAGTGGCTCGCCAGTGCCCCCATGTGACCATGCTTCTGCTCACATTTCAGAGACAGTGGGCAGTCCCATGGCCCTTCCTAACTCCAAGAGGACTGGCAATGCAGTCCTTCCATGTGTCCCCCCCGGAGAGGAAGACAAACTAGGGGTGAGGCCTTAGAGTTGCTCCCGTGCACTGTTACACAACAGGTGATTTCAAATACAGGACCACCTGCAGTCTTCCAAGGAGCGTGCAAATCTCAGTAGAGAGTGTTTGCCATCTTCACTCCAGAGCATTTTTCTACATTACCCTTTGGGATGACCCATAGAATCTCAGCTGGCTGGGCATTTTCTCCTTCCTTCTGATGCACAGACAATGTCTTGGGAGTGTCTGCTACCCTCTGCAGGACTACTAAACACTTGTACAGGTGCCACAGGGTACACGGGAAAGGCTTGCTTTCCTGTGGGACAGGCACACAGACAAAACCAGGGGAGGGATAAATAACTGGTCTTCTTTTTTGGTGAGAGGAGTGTGTCTACCAAGATACTAGGGGCACCCAAGTTTCGGGGGATTTTGTGTCTGTAGACTTTACTCCACAGTGACTTTCATGGTCTTTGCTCATCTACCACTTGCAAGGAGGGCGTTGGGCTTTGACAACCTACGTCAGCTCCTTCTCCTGCGTATGCGTTCAGTGGCGGTTTTCCAGTAAGACGCTCCTTCAAAATCCTGCGGTAAGCATCGGGGCAGCTTAAAAACCTTGATTTCTAACTTCAGGTTATAACCAAGCAACTGGTAGATTCTGTGCTCAATCAGATCCTACTCATCAGCTCGTTCTGAAAGCAGAGATTGTTGAAGACACCGAGGGGTACGACCAGATGTCTAAACATTGCTGCCACTGTCAACTTTGATGTGGCTGTGGATATGGCTGTGTGGGCAGTGGGATGGGACAGCCCAGCAGTTCCGCAGGGGGGAGGAACACCCTGTTTAGGGAAGGCGGGTGAAGCTGGGCTGCTCCCCTGGGATTGGGCACAGACTTTGGAGGCAGCAGTGGGCCACTGGTAAGCCAGTCAAGGCGCAGAGTTGGACGGGAGGGTGCCTGGGGGAAGACAAGGGGAAGGGTGCCGTCACGTGGGACTGGGAGGAAATGCCAGCACCTCAGCTCTCAAGGAACCCTGGGACTCGGGTACGAGGAGCCTAGGTTAGTAACGCCCACAGACAGTACCCGGGATCCTTCTGTGTGCTTCCTGGCAGACATCTTGCCACTGAGAAATAAACTCAGTCAGAGGGTCGGCCACGGGCTGGGATGGGTGGGAAGAGTGGGACCCTATGAGAATTCAGACCAGGGTCTGGTCTCTGCTCTGTCATGCAGCCATGTGATCCTGGACAAACGACCAGGCCCTGTGAGCCCGGGTTCCCCGAGTGTGAAGTAGTGGTTTAGACAAGCTCTGGCCTGCAGGACGGCAGGGTTGTCTGACGCACGTAAAGCACCTCGCACAGTGCCGGGCACGTGATGGAACTTGGGTGAAAGCAGGATGTCCTTTGCATGCCAGACCCTCCCACTCTGCTCTGGGATTTTGTTTCTATGTTATGCAGGTCAGACTAGAGAGTTTGCACCTTAATGGCACTGGAAAGAGCTCGTCAGCCAAAAAGCATTTCAGAAATAAAACGCCAACAAACATACTCAATTAGGGGACATGTGGTCAAACTTCCCCAGTGCATACAGCCAGCCCAAAGCTCCAAGAACAGATTCACTGGCCAACTGCCTCCTTCCTCCTTCTCCTCTTCCAGTGGAACCACATCTTGATTCATTTCAGCCCCATGCAACCTCTAGGGCAGGATCACACGTGGCTAAATTAAATGCAGTGTAACTAACATTGAGACATAGTTAATGCTATGTGCTGTAGCTCTCCCAGGCCGGGGAGAAAAGGGCCTGACCACTGACTTCTGGGCATCACTTCAAGGGCAGGACCCTTACGACTCTAGAAATGCTTGCAGATGATAGATATGTGACACCTAGGGCAGCAGGGGCAGGCTTTAATGGCCCTGGGGCGAGAGCCCAGGGCAACCCCCTTGCCGCCCCCCGAGGAGACCTCACCAGCTTTGCCCGAGATCCGAAAGGGACTAATCAGAGCAACGTTGCATTTCAGCCTTGCCTCTCACCCCTAAGCTTGCCATTTTCCAGGCTGGCTCTGCCCCCACCCAGCCTCAATGCACTGGATCCCACAGGAGGAATGGCAGCACCCGAAGCTGTAGAAGGCCCAGCTCAGGGCATGGGGACTGCACGCCCTCCCCTGCAGCTGTGCGTGCTCACCCCTTACTTCACTAAAGGTTCTGTGGTCCTGGGGCACACCTCCCACCTTACGCATAGGACACCAGCTCCTAGACTATCGCTCCTACGTGGGTGCATGGAGTGGGGTGGGTGTCCTGCTTACCTAGTGGCCCACCACTGACACAAGTCCTTCCAGTGAGCAGAGGCTCGGGGAATTTGGGAGAGTAAATGAGCCAGGGAGCAGGAATGTCATTTATTACTATTTAATTTCTTCTACATTCTTGAATGAGGAAAGAAAAACCTAGATACATATCTTTTTACTATACAGAACGATAGACTGAAAATGATGAGAATATTAAAATATTAACCATGTAAATATTTTCTATTTCACTACTAAATTTCCTATTTCCACAGAAATTCCTATTCCAATGTAATATAAACTTCTTACAAGCTACAAAGAAAACGTACGGTTTCCCAACTTGTCTTACAAAATAGCAAAACCATTTGTAATCAACCAGATGAACAGCAATAAATCTGTGACCCATGTCATTCTGCAATTAGATTCTGGAGCCATGAAGCTTTCTATGTCAGTAACACCTAGAAATACGACAAACAAAAGAAGATAAATTGCCCCAACCTGGCCCTCCACCGCTTCGTTCACCGAGTGCCCTTTGACAACACAGAGGGAACAGGGTGTGTAGACGTCACTCAGGGCAGAAGCCAGGGGACGTTCCACTAGAACTTGCACCGGCCACGGTGGCAGCATAGTCTGCAGTTGCAATGCTAGCCTGGCCTCGCCTTGCCTGATCTCTCACAGCCTCCTCATACCAGGTCAGAGAGGCGTTAGGGGTGCTATCTTTGACCTTGGCCATAAAGCCCAGGACTTCCATCACGTCGATGTCTGCGTGGGCCCTGGCGCCCCAGAGCAACTCAAAGCGAGCGGGATTGCTGTCGGGCACCTGCCGGTACTCCAGGTACTGCTCCTGCACCCAGACCCGAGTGATGAGCTCCCTGGGGTCCCCGAAGATGACATGCTCCCTCCCGGGACACATCCCCATGACACCCAGCATCTCCCACACTTTTTCCTCAGGGGCCCAGTCACCCTCCATGAAGATTATGGTCAGGAGAAACAGCAGGAGGCCGCTTTTGGGCAGGCTCTGCTCGTAGCTCAGCTGCCAGCTGCAGGTGAGGCCCGGGGCTGTGACCAAGATGTAGGAGTGGTCGCTGGGATCCCCTTCCTCCACGTCGATGCCAAAGGCCAGCTGCAAGCAGTCGGAGACGCAGCTGAAGATCACAGGGAACTGGTCCTGGTGATCCTGGCCCAGCACCTCCAGCAGCTCTGCCCTCGTGGTGGTCGGCTCCGCAGTGTGGTACTTGAGGAGCAGGAAGGCCACCAGCTGAGGTATGTTGTCGTAAATCACGATACTGGGAAAGGAACTAAGGACCTGTGAAGTGCCCAGACCCACCTCCACTGGGCTGCCGGAGCCACCATCGGATTGTGTGGGTGGCACGGAGCCAGAGGCAGTGGGGGAGGGGCAGGCACGCTCAGGGCCTTGGAGCGGACTCGGGGTTGGTGAGACCATAGAAACCTCTTCCTCGCCGCCTGAGATATGAGCAAAGCAAGAGGCAGAGGAGAGGAAGGAGGAGGACGCAGCGGAGGCGGAGGACCTGGAGGAGGAGGAGGAAGCAACCTCCTCTGTCGCCCCAGGGTCCTGTGCACCCACGAGGCCCTGGGTCTCCGTGAGGGTCGGAAGGCCTTCCTCGGGCAGGTAGCGCCGTCGCTTCGGGGGAGGACCAGCCATGACTTGTTGAGCAGCTGGAGGGAAGGAGAAACAGCAGGAGGTGGGTGCTGCGGGCCCTGGCGCCCGGGGGGACAGGGGGCGTCGGAGGCCTGGGCGCAGACACAGGCCCCTGGCAGCCCATACACTGGCTGCTTCCAGGGCTCCTCTTTGGGGGTGAGCACCTGCCTCCCAGGGGTCTCCCCTGCTACAGGTGCGCCCCGAGGCCCTGGTGCTGGGCGACGGGGACCCGCTGTGTGGGGTAGGAGAGCCCTGGGAACACAGGTCGGGAGCCCCACCTTGACCATCCCCTCATACCAGGGCCCTCCCTGCCCTGACACAGCCCCGGGGGACGTCTGTGGCCGTCTCAATGGGTCACCAACCCGTTGGTTCCCTGGGCACATGACTCTGCCTGACGTGGGTTTTAGGGGTGCCCTTGCCCCTCCCTTCTGGCCTTCCGTTCACCTGGGTGGGTCTTTGTCCCCACCCTTGGCCCATCGGGGTTCCCTCTCATACAGAGGCCTTCCCTCTCACCATCCAAAATGGCGGGGCGTCTGGGGCCCCTTCCCCTCCTCCCTCAGGCTCCTCACCCCCAAGGCAGGCAGGGCCTGGGATCCTGTGAATGTTGACCGGGGCCGTCCCCTCAGACCAGGGCCCTCCCTGCCCTGACACACCCCCGGGGAAGGTCTGCATCCATCTCAACGGGTCACCAACCCGGGGGTTCCCTGGGCAGACGACTGCGCCTGAGGTGGGTTCTGGGGGCGCCCTCGGCCCTCCCTCCTGGCCTCCTGTTGACTCCCGGTGTGTCTGGCCCCCGCCCTCAGCCCACCTGGGTTCCCTCCTCAGACCAAAGCCTTCACGCTCACAATTCAAAATGGCGGGCGGGAGCATGGGTATGGCACATGGGAGGGGGTGCACAGTCTGAGGACCCTCACAGGGCCTCTTTGAGCAATGGCATGGCCCCCCTGGATTCTTGGGTGGGGGCCCTGAAGCCTCCCTGGGTTCTACCTGGAGTCCTTGCAGGTGACCTGAATCTGGCGTCTGACACCGAGGTCGTCCTGTCCCTCAGGCCTCCTTGGAGGAAGACTAATGACGTCACATCCGGATGCGGGGTCGGAGCGTCCCCTGGAGGCTGCCAGGAGGAGCGCACAAGGATTCCGGGCGTTCCTCGCTCCGCCCCCTGGGCCTCCCTTAAACCCCGCCTTCTCCCACCTGCCGCGGCTCACGAGGCCCAGGGCCCTGCCTCCCCAGGTCCTTACTGGATGTGGTGTGGTGGTGGGATGGGGGGAGGTGGGGCACTGGGGGGAAGAAGGGGGGATGTGGGCGGTCAGATGTTGGGTGCATGGGGGGAGGTGTGGGGGTGGGTGTCGGCAGTCGGGGGGCGGAGGTCTGGGATGGGGATCTTGCAGAGGTCTGGGATGGGGATCTGGGGATGGTGGGGAGCTGTGAGGCAGTGTGAGGAGTGGGGGTATTTGGGTGTCGGAAGTCAGTGGTTCGGGGAGTGTGGGGCCAGTGTGGGGGCACGGGGGGGGGGGGTGGGGGGGGGGGGGCGGGGGGGGGGTGCAGGAAGGTGAGGGTTGGGAAGTTGGGAGGCAGGAGGTCGGGTGGTGGGAAGCGGGAGGCAGATTGTGGGGAATGGGAATTTCTGTGGGTGGGGGAGGTGGGTTGGGAGGTGGGGGGAGGCGGGTTGGGAGGTGGTGGGCACGGGCAGTGGAGAGGACAAGCAGGGAGGTGGGCTGGGTTGGTTAGGTGCCCAGCCCGACGACTCTGTAGCCGGAGAACCATCCCAGAGCCTCAGGGCTGCTGGCACGGCGGAGCCGGCTTCTGTAACCACCAGCTTCCTGGCGCATGTTCCCCCCCTGCCCTCCACTGCTCACCGAGGGGGGTCCTCCTCAGCCCTGGCAGAGCAGCCCTGCAGCCCCAGGATAGAGTTGAGCTGGGAAGCTGCAGGGCCCCTGGCCATGGGGAGGGTCCGGGAGGAAGCACCCCTTCCCTTGGGGTGGGTGTCTTCACAGCCAGCCAGACTTGAGGCACTCTGTGTGTGAAGGACTTCATGTTTCCTGAAGAGGCTGAGTGGGTGCAGGGCATTTGCGCAGGTCCCTAGGTCTTAGGCTCACCGCACATCATGGCCCTGTGGAGTGCCGCGATTTTCCCTCAGTCACCCTCCATCGCTGCAAGAAAGACATTTCCATTCTCTACCCAGTATGTGTGTCCACGTACACATATAAACAACATACATGTAGATAATATATGCACATGTGTTTGTGGTTCAGAAGATGTTGTGCATACTGCCCGGTTTTTGTAAAGATGAACGTTTTAGAGCACTGTTAGGGGTACTGATACATAAAGAGGCAGTTACACAGGTTTCCCGTTTATCCCTGTCCCCACCCACTGCTACCCTCCGGAATTATCGACGCAACCACAGAGGGGCGCATTTGTTATCACCCATGAACTTACACTGACCGTCATGATCACCCAAAGGGCTCCCGCCTGGCCTTGTCTATTGCATGGCTTTAGACCAATGGATATGGACACCTTCCATCATGACCGTATCACAGTGAGGACTGTCACTGCCTGAAAGTTCCCCTGTGCTCTGCCTGTTCCCTCTCCCCCCATGGTCCCGGGCAACCACATGGGTCCTCTTCCCGTCTCCGTACTCTCGCCTCTACAGACTGTCACACGGTTGGGATCACGCAGTATGGAGCCTTCTCAGGTGGGCTCTTTCCCTTAGGCGCACGCATTCAAGGTTCCTCCATGCCTCTTCCTGGCTTGGTGGCTCATTCCCGTATGGCGATGAACCATTTCCCACGGTCTGCATGCCCCACAGTTCATGCATTCACCTACTGCAGGACATCTTGCTTGCATCTATGTTTTGGCAGGTCTTGAGGCCTCCCTATGGGTCAGCTGCCACACCCAGGATATTCTCTGTGTCCAGGTCCCTGACCCTGACTGTCACCCAAGTCGGCTGTAGAACAACGTGCACCAGGTTTGCACAGCTCTGACCCATGAGAGGAGGCGGTCTGGGCAAGGCATCGTCAGCGTGAAAGACCTTGCATCAGCCAGGCACAGGGGACCAGAAGACACACACTGGTGCAGAGTCCTCACCATAGCCAGTAAAGTGCGCCTGAGGTCCATTGGAATGGTGGCTATGCCTACAGACCAGTGGGTGTGGACCAGGCGTTAGGCATGGGGCACACCCCGTGTAACATCACACCAGCACCTCAAACTGTCCCTGGGCCCAGTTGACAGGTCAGCAAAGGGAGTCATAGAGATTTCACAGGAAGGCTGAGCTGCAGAGCAGCAGGACTCTGATTCCAGCCAGCTGCCTCCCAGTAACTCAGGAGCCGAAGGGGGCAGGACACTGAAGGAGTCCTTGCAGCCAGCTTCCTGTGCGGGGGCTCCTGTGTTGAAGGCGTCCGCCCCTGCCCGACCATGTCTCGTCTAAGGGTCCAATGGTCATGACTGCAGCCCCGGGCGTGAGGGAACCAGTGGGCCCTGCGTTCCATGGCTTCATGGCCCGAGAAGTAATGCACGGCCCCTGGGGTGCTTCTTGTAGTAAGTGCTGTGACTAACAACACTTCTGCTCAAACTGGAGAGGCAAGGAATCGTCACCTGGCCCCCCCCAAGTACAAGCGAACTGCCAGTGCAGTGTCCCCGCGAGGCCAGGCGACAGTCCAGAGTGATGTTCATGAGCACTTGTCGTCCATCTGATTCACCATTTGCACAGTAGACGCTCCACACACACCCACCTTCTATGGCAGGTCCTTCAAGTCCAGGCTCACAGCTAAGATTCAAATCATTGTCTGCATCTCAGCAGGGGGGACACCCCCTTCCCTTCAGGGCCCCTATCGCACTTTCCAGGGCAATAACCTCTAATAGCTCAGCAGGCCCTGCTTTCCACGCAATGTCACACTCTTAACCTGACAGTCACTGCTGTGGGCCCACACACTTGTGCCCGAGCTGAACACACGGACCCCGGCACAGATGGGCTCTTTACCCAGGGGTGGTGCTTTCTCGTCTTCTTGGGATCTCAGCCTCTAACACCTGCTCCTGGGGAAAGGATTTCTTTCCACGACACCTTGGGGAAGCTGCAGCTCAACTGGCCACTGAACATGCACTCACCCGAAATTGCAGCTCTGCCCACCTTCCTCCCAGAGGATATTTCACTCACTTTGCAGGGCAGGGTCGCTTCACCAGCTGGAGCAAAAACCTACAGGCTACTAGAAAGGAACTCTGACTCCCACGTCTTCCCTCTTGGGCAGCTTATCTTCCTTCAAATCACCAATTTTGATTCATTTCGTCCCCATGGACCTCTACCCTTGCTTACCATGGGTTAAAGGGAACATAGCGCCACCGATAACAGTGCCGTTTCCAGGGACTCAGTACTCGCCCTCCCAGGCCAGGGAGAAGACAGCCCACCACTGACTTCTGGGCATCACTTCAAAGGGCAGGACCCTTATGCCTCTCCAAATGCTTGCAGATGATGGCTATGCAGACACCTAGGGTGGTGGGCGCTTTTTTCAATGGCACTGAGGGACAAGCCCAGGGCACCCACCTTGCCGCCCCCGAGGAGACCTCACTGGGTTTGCCCGAGCCCTGAAAGGGACTAATCAGAGCAACGTCGCATTTCAGCGTTGCCTCTCACCCCTAAGCTTGCCATCGGCCAGGCTGGCTCTGCTCCCACCCAGCATCACTGCACTGGACCCCACAGGAGGAACGGCAGTGCCCGATGCCACAGAAGGCCCAGGTTGGGGCATGGGGACTGCACACCCTCCCCTGCAGCCGCGCCTGCTCACCCCTTCCTTTACTAAAGGTTCTGTGGTCCTGGGGCACACCTCCCACCTTCCTTATAGGGCAGCAGCTCCTAGACTATCACTCTTAGGTGGGTGCGTGGAAGGGGGGTGTCCTGCTTACCCAGTGGCCCACCGCTAACACAGGGCCTTCCAGTGAGCAGAGGCTCGGGGAATTTGGGAGAGTAAATGAGTCAGGGAGCAGGAATGTCATTTATTACTATTTAATTTCTTCTACATCCTTGAACAAGGTAAGAAAATCTAGATACATATCTTTTTTCATACAACTATAGACTAAAAATTATAAGAGAATACAAAAATTAACCATTAAAATTATTTTCTGCATTTCACTGCTAAATTTGTTCCCATTCCCAAGGAAATTCTTATTCTAATGTCATGGGAAGTTACAAGCTACAAAGAATATGTTAGGTTTTCCATCTTGTTTTACGAAATAGCAAAACTATTTCCAATCAACCAGATAAACAGCAGTAAATGTGTGAGCAATGTCAATCTACAATTCGATTCTGATGATAAGAAACTTTCTAAAATAATTAAAATCTGAAAATACAAAAAATAAAGGAAGATAAATTGCCCCAGCCTTGCCCTCCACCGCTTCATTCACTGACTGGCCTTTGACAACCCAGATGGGACAGGGTGCATAGACGTCACTCTGGGCAGAAGCCAGGGGACGTTCCACTAGAACTTGCACTGGCCATGGCAGCAGCATCGTCTGCGGCAGCAATGCTAGCCTGGCCTGGCCCTTCCTGATCTCTCACATCCTCCTCATAGCAGGTCAGAGAGGCATTAGCGGTGCAATCTTTGACCTTGGCCATAAACTCCAGGACTTTCACCCTGTGGGTCTCCATGTGTGCCCTGCGGCCCCAGAGCAGGTGGAAGCGAGCGGGATTGCTGTCGGGCACCTGCTGGTACTCCAGGTACTGCTCCTGCACCCAGATCCTGATGATGAGCTCTATGGGGTCCCCGAAGATGACGTGCTCCCTCCCGGGAAATATCCCCATGACACCCAGCATTTCCCACACCTTTCCCTCAGGGACTGAGCCACCCCTCATGAAGATTATGCTCAGGAGAAACAGCAGGAGGCTGCTCATGGGCAGGCTCTGCTCATAGCTCAGCTGCTCGCTGTAGGTGAGGCCCCGGAATGTGACCACGATGTAGGAGTGGTCGCTGGGATCCCCTTCCTCCACGTCGATGCCAAAGGCCAGCTGCAAGCACTCGGAGACACAGCTGAAGATCACAGGGAACTGCTCCTGGTGATCCAGGCCCAGCACCTCCAGCAGCTCCGCCCTCGTGGTGGTCGGCTCCGTGGTGTGGTACTTGAGGAGCAGGACAGCCACCAGCTGCGCTGTCTTGTCGTCAATCATGATACTGGGAAAGGATCTTGCTTCTGGAGGGACCTGTGAAGTGCTCAGACCCTCCTCCATTGGGCTGTCAGAGCCAGCATCGGATTGTGTGGATGGCATGGAGGCAGAGGCAGTGGGGGAGGGGCAGGCACGCTCAGGGCCCTGGAGCGGACCCGGGGTTGGTGAGACCATAGAAACCTCTTCCTCACCGCTTGAGATAACAAGACAGCAAGAGGGGGAGTAGGGGGAGGAGGCGGAGCACATGGAGGAGGAGGAGGAAGCAACCTCCTCTGTCGCCCCAGGGTCCTGTGCACCCACGAGGCCCTGGGTCTCCGTGAGGGTCGGAAGGCCTTCCTCGGGCATGTAGCGCCGTCGCTTCGGGGGAGGACCAGCCATGACTTGTTGAGCAGCTGGAGGGAAGGAGANTCTTACAGGTACAAAGAAGGTTAGGACTGGAAGGAGTAAGTCAAGTTGTTTTTCGCCTAGAAAGAGGTGGGGTGACCGCAGACCCGCCGAGGCCAAGCTGTGCCGGGGAGAACTTGGACTGTGGCTCCAGGGCTCCCAGAACCATGCACCTGGAAGCCCGGGGGCAGGGGCGGTGCAGGAGGTTTCCCTTGGCATTCACTGGGTCCAGGTTCCCTGGGAAGAACCTGCCTCAGGGAGCTTTGGGGCATGGCTTTTGGAGAAAGACCAGGGAGGAGGGGGGCTAGGGAGGTATTGATGCCTCCCTATGGGTCAGCTGCCACACCCAGTATATTCTCTGTGTCCAGGTCCCTGACCCAGACTGTCACCTAGGTCGGCTCTAGAACAACGTGCACTAGGTTTGCACAGCTCTGACCCATGAGAGGAGCTGGTCTGGGCAAGGCATCATCAGCATGAAAGACCCTGCCTCAGCCAGACACGGGGGACCAGAAGACACACACTGGTGCAGAGTCCTCACCATTCCCAGGAAAGTGCGCCTGAGACCCATGGGAACGGTAGCTATGCCTACAGACCAGTGGGCATGGGCCAGGCGTTAGGCATGGGGTGCACGCCGTGTAACATCACACCAGCACTACAACCTGTCCCTGTGCCCAGTTGACAGGTCAGCAAAGGGAGTCATAGAGAGTTCACGGGAAGGCTGGGCTGCAGAGCAGCAGGACTCTGATTCCAGCCAGCTGCCTCCCAGTAACTCAGGAGCCGAAGGGGGCAGGACACCTCCTGTGCCAGCCTCCTGTGCGGGGGCTCCTGTGTTGAAGGCGTCCACCCCTGCCTGAGCATTTCTCGTCTAAGGGTCCAATGGCCATGACTGCAGCCCCGGGCGTGTGGGAACCAGTGGGCCCTGCGTTCCATGGCCTCATGGCACGAGAAGTAATGCACGGCCCCTGGGGTGCTTCTTGTAGTAAGTGCTGTGACTAACAACACTTCTGCTCAAACTGGAGAGGCAAGGAGTCATCACCTTGCCCCCCCGCCCCAAGTACGAGCGTACTGCCAGTGCAGTGTCCCCACGAGGCCGGGCGACAGTCCAGACGGATGTGCACGTGCACATAACGTCCATGTTATTCACCATTGCACAGTAGACACCCCGCACACGCAGCTGTGCCCATTTGTTAGGACACACCCACCCGTCCTTGAAGTCCAGGCTCACAACTAAGATTCAAATCATTGTCTGCATCTCAGCAGGAGGGACACCCCCTTCCCTCCAGGGCCGCTATTGCACTTCCCAGGGCAATAACCTCCAATAGCTCAGCAGGCCCTGCTTTCTACTCAAGGTCACACTCTTAACCTGACAGTCACTGCTGTGGGCCCACACTCTTGTGCCCCAGTTGAACACATGGACCCCGGCACAGATGGGCTCTTTACCAAGGGGTGGTTCTTTCTCGTCTTCTTGGGACCCCAGCCTCTAACACCTGCTCCTCAGGAAAGGATTTCTTCCTATGACACCTTGGGGAAGCTGCAGCTCAACTGGCCACTGAACATGCACTCACCCCAAATTGCAGCTCTGCCCACCTTCCTCCCGGAAGATATTTCACTCACTTTGTGGGGGGGTGGTTGGGGTGGGTCGCTTCCCCAGCTGGAGCAACAACCTGCAGGCTACTAGAAAGGAAGTCCAACTCCCATGTCTTCCCTCTTGGGCAGCTTCTCTTCCTTCAAATCACCGATTTTGATTCATTTCGTCCCCATGGACCTCTACCCTTGCTTACCATGGGTTAAAGGGAACACAGCACCACCGATAACAGTGTCGTTTCCATGAACTCAGTACTCGCCCTCCCAGGCCAGGGAGAAGATGGCCTACCACTGACTTCTGGGCATCACTTCAAGGGGCGGGACCCTTATGTCTCTGCAAATGCTTGCAGATGATGGCTATGCGATACCTAGGGTTGTGGGCACTGCCTTCAATGGGACTGAGGTGAGAGCCCAGGGCACCCCCTTTGTCGCCCCCGAGGAGACCTTACCGGGTTTGCCCGAGCCCCGAAAGGGACTAATTAGAGCAACGTTGCATTTTAGCCTTGCCTCTCACCCCTAAGCTTGCCATCCGCCATGCTGGCTCTGCCCCCACCCAGCCTCACTGCACTGGATCCCACAGCAGGAACGGCAGCGCCCGAGGCCCCAGATGGCCCAGCTTGGGGCATGGGGACTACATGCCCTCCCCTGTAGCCGCGCCTGCTCACCCCTTCCTTTACTAAAGGTTCTGTAGGTCGTGGGCACACCTCCCACCTTCCTAACAGGACACCAACTCCTAGACTATTACTCTTAGGTGGGTGCGTAGACGGGGGTTGTCCTGCTTACCCAGTGGCCCACCGCTAACACATGGCCTTTCAGTGAGCAGAGGCTTGGGGAATTTGGGAGAGGAAATGAGCCAGGTAGCAGGAATATCAGTTATTACTATTTAATTTCTTCTACCCATTTGAACAAGCTAAGAAAATCTAGATACATATCTTTTTTCATACAACTATAGACTAATCATTATGAGAGAATACAAAATTAAACATTTAAATTAATTTCTCTATTTCATTGCTAAATTTGTTCCCATTCCCATTGAAATTCTTATTCTAATGTCATGGGAAGTTACAAGCTACAAAGAATATGATAAGTTTTCCATCTTGTTTTACAAAATAGCAAAGCTGTTTCTAATCAACCAGATTAACAGCAATAAATATGTGAGCAATGTCAATCTACAATTCGATTCTGATAAGAAACTTTCTAAAACAAGTAACATCTGAAAATGCCAAAAATAAAAGAAGATAAATTGCCCTGGCCTGGCCCTCCACTGCTTCGTTCACTGACTGGCCTTTGATAACACAGAGGGGACAAGGTGCATTGATGTCACTCAGGGTAGAAGCTAGGGGATGTTACACTAGAACTTGCACCTGCCATGGTGGCAGCATCGTCTGCAGTGTCAATGCTAGTCTGGCCTGGCCCTTCCTGATCTCTCACATCCTCCTCATACCAGGTGAGACAAGCATTAGCAGTCCTATCTTTGACCTTGGCCAAAAACTCCAGGACTTCTACCACATCGGTCTCCACGTGTGCCCTGGGGCCCCAGAGCAGGTGGAAGCGAGCGGGATCGCTGTCAGGCACCTGCCGGTACTCCAGGTACTGCTCCTGCACCCACACCCCGGTGATGAGCTCTATGGGGTCACCGAAGATGACGTGCTCCCTCCCGGGACACATCCCCATGACACCCAGAATTTCCCACACCTTTTCTTCAGGGACTGAGCCACCCTCCAGGAAGATAATGCTCAGGAGCAACAGCAGGAGGCTGCTCATAGGCAGGGTCTCGTCATTGTGCAGCTGCCCACTGTAGGTAATGTCCAGGGCTATGACCAGGATGTAGGAGTGGTCGCTGGGATCCACTTCCTCCAAGTCGATGCCAAAGGCCAGCTGCAAGCACTCGGAGACGCAGCTGAAGAACAGAGAGAAGTAGTCCTCGTGATCCTGGCCCAGCACCTCCAGCATCTCCGCCTTCGTGGTCGACTCCACGGCAAGGTACTTGAGGAGCAGGAAGGCCACCAGGTGAGCTGTCTTGTCATGAATCACGATACTGGGAAAGGATCTGCCTTCTGGAGGCACCTGTGAAGTGCCCAGACCTGCCTCCACTGGGCTGCCGGAGCCACCATCGGATTGTGTGGATGGCACGGAGACAGAGGCAGTGGGGGAGGGGCAGGCACGCTCAGGGCCCTGGAGCGGACTCGGGGTTGGTGAGACCATAGAAACCTCTTCCTCACCGCTTGAGATAACAAGACAGCAAGAGGGGGAGTAGGGGGAGGAGGCGGAGCACGTGGAGGAGGAGGAGGAAGAGGAAACAACCTCCTCTGTCGCCCCAGGGTCCTGTGCACCCACGAGGCCCTGGGTCTCCGTGAGGGTCGGACGGCCTTCCTCGGGCATGTAGCGCCGTCGCTTCGGGGGAGGACCAGCCATGACTTGTTGAGCAGCTGGAGGGAAGGAGAAACAGCAGGAGGTGGGTGCTGCGGGCCCTGGCGCCCGGGGGGACAGGGGGCGTCGGAGGCCTGGGCGCAGACACAGGCCCCTGGCAGCCCATACACTGGCTGCTTCCAGGGCTCCTCTTTGGGGGTGAGCACCTGCCTCCCAGGGGTCTCCCCTGCTACAGGTGCGCCCCGAGGCCCTGGTGCTGGGCGACGGGGACCCGCTGTGTGGGGTAGGAGAGCCCTGGGAACACAGGTCGGGAGCCCCACCTTGACCATCCCCTCATACCAGGGCCCTCCCTGCCCTGACACAGCCCCGGGGGACGTCTGTGGCCGTCTCAATGGGTCACCAACCCGTTGGTTCCCTGGGCACATGACTCTGCCTGACGTGGGTTTTAGGGGTGCCCTTGCCCCTCCCTTCTGGCCTTCCGTTCACCTGGGTGGGTCTTTGTCCCCACCCTTGGCCCATCGGGGTTCCCTCTCATACAGAGGCCTTCCCTCTCACCATCCAAAATGGCGGGGCGTCTGGGGCCCCTTCCCCTCCTCCCTCAGGCTCCTCACCCCCAAGGCAGGCAGGGCCTGGGATCCTGTGAATGTTGACCGGGGCCGTCCCCTCAGACCAGGGCCCTCCCTGCCCTGACACACCCCCGGGGAAGGTCTGCATCCATCTCAACGGGTCACCAACCCGGGGGTTCCCTGGGCAGACGACTGCGCCTGAGGTGGGTTCTGGGGGCGCCCTCGGCCCTCCCTCCTGGCCTCCTGTTGACTCCCGGTGTGTCTGGCCCCCGCCCTCAGCCCACCTGGGTTCCCTCCTCAGACCAAAGCCTTCACGCTCACAATTCAAAATGGCGGGCGGGAGCATGGGTATGGCACATGGGAGGGGGTGCACAGTCTGAGGACCCTCACAGGGCCTCTTTGAGCAATGGCATGGCCCCCCTGGATTCTTGGGTGGGGGCCCTGAAGCCTCCCTGGGTTCTACCTGGGGCCCTT